CTATCATGCCCCAATTCTACCTTACAAATCTGTCTAGACCAGAGTATGTACATGGGTACAGATAAGAGCTGGAAACACAGATAAACTCCCGGGACCAATATAGAGAGTAGTGATACCAGGAGGGTAAGGGGAAGGTAGGGGAGAAAGTGGGAACCGATCACAATGATCTACATATAACCCCCTCCCAGGGGGATGGACAACAGAAAAGTGGTTGAGACATCAGTCAGTGTAAGACATAATTTATAAATTATCAAGGGTTCATAAGGGAGGGAGGACCGGCAAGGGAGGGGGAAAATGAGGATCTGATACCAAGGGCTCAAGTAGAAAGAAAATGTTTTGAAAATGATCATGGCAACAAATACAAATGTGCTTGACCCAGTGGTTGTATGTATGGATTGTGATAAGAGTTGTATGAGCCCCCAATAAAATGATTTTTTTTTAAAAAGTAAAAATGCCCAAGCTGCTTTGGGTGATTGGGATGTGACAGTAAAGGGGTGGAGCTGTACATCAAAGGTCAGGAAGGTCTGTCAAAAGGTCACCATGTGAGGGGAGAGTGATAGCCCCAAAATGACAGTGCTCACTACCCCCCCCACCCCCAAAGAACCCTTAACAATCAATACAAGATGAATTTTGTCTGCAAAGGACTCTGGAAAATAACTAGAGTACCTTACAGGGCAGTAATCTAGAACAGGAAAAAACACGCCAAGTAACTGCCTTCGTGATAACATCAGTGGTAACCCATTAACCAGTACAAAAACAATCCTATCCATCATAGATTAACCGTGTCCCTGCCCCCGAGTCCCTTGTCTGGATCCCTTGCACATACGCACTGGGTATATAAACACACATCCCACCTTTCCCTGTATGGACTTCTACCTTGGGGGCATTCAATATTTGACAGTCCATTATGAGAATTTGAACATTGATCTTTGTATGTAAATTCCCTAGTAAAATCACGTCTGAACAACAATAGCTCTTTTTTTTTTTTGATCTGATTTATGCCTCCTTCGAGCCACTCCTGTTGCTTGTCTGATGATGTATTATGTCCCCACATTTAGAAGTCACTCAAAGTCGGGTAGAGCTGGTGCTGCTGGGTGCTAGGTGCTGCCTATTGCCCAGTGTTCTTGGGTGTTGCAAGTGATTAATTTACTCAGCTAGTAAATGGAAGGTTAAAGATCAATGTCCACCCAGAGTTACCTCAGAAGAAAGATCGGACCATATACTTCCAAAAGATCATGGTCATGAAAATCCTATGGAACACAGTTTTACTCTGACACACATGGGATCACCATAAATTTGAGTCAATTCACCTCTTGGTTTATCCATTTCTAAGATTTTATTTTGTTGCTGTTGAAAATATTTATTCATTTCAACCGTTTCTACATTCTACTATTCAATGACATTGATCACATTCTTTGAGTTGTGCAACCATTATACTTTTCCAAGTTGTCATTCCCTAAGATTCCTCTCAGATCTTTGAAATTTCTGTTGTCAATTTGATCCTATGTTGTTATTATTGTTAAGTGTCGTGGAGTTGGTTCTGACTCTTAGCCACCCTAGGTAAATGAGAATAAAACTGCCCCACCCTGTATTATCCCCACAATTATTTGTATATTTGATCCCATTGTTGTAGCCACTAGGTTCATTCATCCTGTTGAAGGCCTTCTTTTTCACTACCTCCTACTTTACCAAGCATGATGTCCTCCAGGGACCAGTCTCTCCTGACAACATGGCCAAAGTATTTGAGACAGAGTCTCACCATCCTTGCTTTTAAGCAAAATTCTGGCTCTGCTCCATCTAAGACATTTAATTGTTCTGTTGGGAGTCCATGATTCATTCAGTATTCTTTTCTAAATTCACAGATTATTAGATTGCTATGTTGTTGTTGCTGCTGTTGTTGTTGTTAGGAACCATTGGGTTGGCTCCCACACATAGAACCTTATGCACAACAAAACAAAACACTGCATGGTCATGTGCTATTGATTATAGATAGTTCTTGAAAAGATCATAAAGCCTGGGGCAGAGACTTTTTACGAGTTAAGCTAAATTGTTGTTTTGTTCAAGACGACTTAGGGAATGTTTTTTTGTTTTTTTTGTTTAAGGTTTACAAATCTCAGAATAATCACTCCAAGGTTCATTAGCCTCCACAAATCCAGTTTGGGGTTCATAAGAATTTAAAATTGTGTTCTGTATTTGCCCCTTTGATCAAAATGTTCAATAATGATAGGTGGGTTTCATGGCAAAGGTGGCAGTTATTCATGGGGTAACTAACCACATATTGCAATCCCCTCCTTTTATTATTAACTCTCCTTTATCTGTTGCTGCTTCTGGTGCATAGAGGCTAATTGTTGTGCTGAGCATGGCCACTTCTAAGCTTTTAAGAACCCAGGTTCTATAATGAACTGAGAAGTAGAACGGAAGCACTAAATATGTTATTATCCCAATTTATTAGGATGCCATGAAACCATGACCTTAAACAGCCATACCAAGGTACCAAATCCCCTGAGTTTTTTTGTAGCATATTATTAGACTCATAAACCTCTCTCTCTTTTTTTTGGTTGAGGTTATAAATATAACTATCAGATAATTTTTGTTAATTCAACTTTTAATAGGTATATAACTTAATGACAGCAATTATGATAATCAGCCAAGCAACTCTAACTTTAATGTGATTTTTCTTTCATTGTTAGTTCCACCTTTTCCCCTCCCTCCTACTCCTGGTAGCCACTAAAAACTTTGCTCTCTCTATATTTTCCTTTGCTTGTCTTTCCTTATAGAAATGAAGTCATAGAATATTTGTCCTTTTGTGATTGACTTTTTAAACTCAACATAATGTCTTCAAGCTCCATCCATATGGTAGCATCTATCAAGACTTAGTTTTTCCTACTGGCTTCCATTTAATTTCTCCTCCTCTTCCCTGAGGGTTCTGGGGTGGGGGTAGGGGAGACATCAATAATATTCCATTGTATGTATGTTCTACATTTTGTTTATCCATTCATCTGTTGATGAGTACTTAGTTTCCATCCTTTTGTCTATTGTGAATAGTGCTACAATGAATATTGCTATACCAATCTCTGAGTGTCTGCTTTTATTTTTGGTATATTGCTATACCAATCTCTGAGTGTCTGCTTTTATTATGTGGCTAGGAGTAGACACATGGTTACATAGTAGTTCAATGTTTAATTTCAAATTTTATATTTTTGAGAAACTGCCACATGGGTTTTCCCAACAGTGTGGCATCTCCAGTAACGATATTAGTGTCAATTTCCTACATGTTCACTAACATTTGTTATTTTGTTATTAGTTTTAAATATTAGCCAGCCTAACACTGCCACTGACTCAAATTATGACTCACGGTGGCCTTTATGACAAGGTAAAACTGCCCCTTTGGATTTGTGAGGTTGTAAATGTTTATAGGAGCCAACAGACTTATCTTTCTCTCATAGAGTGGCTGGTGGGTTTGAACTGCTGGCCTTGAGGTTAGCAGCCCAACACATAATCCACTACATCACCAGGACTCCTTTAGCCATCCTAGTGAGAGCCCTATTGGTGTAATGATTTTACGTTGGGCTGCTAATGACAAGGCCAGCAGTTCAAACCACCAGTGGCTCCTCAGGAGCAAAACGAGGCTTCCAACTCCCTTAAAAAGTTAGTCTCAGGAATCCACAGGTGCAGTTTGACCCTGCCCTTACTTGACTGCTATGAGTCAGCATTAACTTGACAGTGTTGAGTTTATTTTTTTGTTTCAGTGAGAGTGAAGTGTTATCTTTATTGTGGCCTTGGTTTATCTATTGATTGGTTAATTTCATATGGTTGAGATGATGGTGATAAATTGATGTTCATCACAGTGATTACACCTCCAAAATGCCCTCCTTTACATTAAGATTTGTCACATTTGTTAAATCATTCATGCCTATGTTGATTGTTAATTTTGTTGTTATCTGTCATTGTGTGGGGAAGTTAGCATACAGATAAGGAGGTTCAGGCATGCTTCTAAGAAGCTGAAGAAGCTGGCCTTTGAAAGAAGAGGAAAAAAACTATTAACAATCCCAACATAGCAACAAGTGCGGCATGCGGAGGAGAGAGGCCTGATTCTGCTTGGGTGCGGGTAGACAATGAGCAAGACCCCGCAAACCCCGCCTGTGGCTCAGGTGGTGGAACACGAAGTGCAGACGATGGGGGATAGCCTTGTGGATTAGGACAGGTCATGAAGTACTCAGATTTGAGTATAGGCTCTAGTAAGGGCACGGTGAGGCTGGGAGGGGCATAGGGCACAACCCAAAATCAGTATAGTAGGAGTTTCTTGGAACTAGCTTCAACGAAACTAGGTAGCCTATGGTGGTGGGAGATTGAAGGATTTGAACCAAGAGTCCCATGGGAATGGTGGAAGAAATGGAACTGGAGGATGGAAGAAGATTATTAAATTCATTCAAATGGTAAACAGGCCTAGACCAAGTTAGCTATACATATTGAACATCTATATTTTATAATCAATCATCCTCTGGGGGAAATCAGGTATCTTTTGTGGAAAACCAGGCCACTGGGTCACAAAGGCTCTGACATCCTTCTTGGTCTGCAAATCTACTGATCTACTCCAATCCAATACTGTTGAAGCCAAATTCTTATATTATGATTATACATTTTCCAGAAACATAACCAGATTAAGTAGGATTCTGATGGAAAACTATTACATCACTTGGATTATTCTCCCTTGTTCTGAAGATGAATAAAAGCTGTACATATTAATGAATGCATCCATGGACTTCATTCTAAAGAAATGAATCATGTACATATTGCTATTGTTATTAGCTGCCTTTGAATCTTTCCTGAGTCAAGGGACCTAATGCAAAAATGGAGAAAATGTCATCTATTACTGTTCCATGATCAGTTGTGGATTAGACTGCTGGGATTCATATGATTTTTCCTTTACTATATTTTGGAAGTTAAATACCAGGCTTTTCTTCTTAGTTCTTATTCGACGGGAAGCCCTGCTGAAATCTGTTCAGCCTTGTAACAGTGCATCAACTCCACCTGCTGCACGGATGGTGCATTGGCCGGGAGTCAAGCTGAGTGTCTGTATGGAAGCAGCAATACCTCCCTTACCTTTATGTTCACCCCATCCAATCCTCTAGTGGACTTAAGGAACTGCAGGATAGAATCATGACGGAGCTAGGCCCCACAAAAGCATGGACTTCACGTCGGTAGTAGCGGTAGGGGAAGTGGTAAGAAACGTCTGTCTTCCACTTCGTAACGGGAGAATACAAGAACAACTATGATAATTGATGGCCTGCATAGAGAATGAGATGAGGACTTTCTGGAAAAAGATTTTAAAGTGGAGGATAGCATAGACTAATGGTGATGTTTCAGGTGGTCCGTATTTTGGGTGGGGATGCATATTTAACTTTAAAAGGAGTAAGTTTAGGTCAATCTTTTAAAGTCTCATATGCCTCACATAAATCTATGCATCTTGGAAAATAACACTGCTTATATAAACGTTTTAATAAAATATGTCAGTTGGTAAGGATTAGAAAAGGTAGACTGACCTTTTTGACATCTCTTACCAGCAGATGAAGTGTGTTTGGTGGACCCAATCTCTGCAAAAGAAGCATTTTGCCATGTCAAATATATTCAGATTGAACTTTAGTATGTGTACTTTGTTTCTTTTTAAAGACATGGTTAACTATATAGCACATTAAAATATATTTTAAATTCATTTCATTAAATTATTTTAAAGCATATATTATGATGTACAGTCTTGTATTAAAAGTTCACAAACAAGTTTTACTAGTAATTATTGAAGGCCATGTAACAAAATATAAATTCTCCAAATTCATATTTTAATAATAAACCAAGGGGATTTCATTCAAATACTTCCATTCTGATACAGTGCAGCTTATGCCTGTGAAAACTTTAGTCTGAATTTTTCACTGAAGCCTCATAAAAAGAGAAGTTACAAGAAGCACATGAGTGCTCACCCCTGGTAGTTTTCACTCTGCTCATGAATTATGAAGCTGGATTCCCTTGTTTTATTCATGTCTAGGTGGTACAAATGGTATTCGTTTGACAACGAACCTTAAGCTTAGTAATTTGAACCCATTCCATAGTGATGGTTGGTAGTTGCCTTTGAGTAAATTCAGCCACATGGCAACTCCATGTGTGTAGAGTAGTACTGCTCCATGTCTTACCCATCCACTGCCACTGAGTTGATTGTAATGTGTCATGACCCTATACTCCTGCAGAATGGCTGGGGGAGTTGAATTGCTGGTTTTCCAGCTAGCAACTGAATACTTAATGTCCAACTTATAACCTGCAGTGCCACCAGATCTCCTTAAGATGCCTCTGAGTGGTTCAAACTGCCAACTTTTCAGTTGGTATTAGAGTTTGAAGCATTTGAGCCATTTGGGGACTCTTCATCCAGTGGTACTACAGAAATGTTGTCTGGTAATCTGTTTCCATTAAAATCACAGCCAAGCAATATGCAACAAGGGTGAGGTTGGCAAAAAATATTCAAGGCAAAGGCAGACACTGGGAGGTATATAAGAGCTAAAGGGAACAGAGGTAAATTATGCAATAACAGTTAACAATAATCTATGAGTAGAAACACACAAAGGCATACAAGCTTTACAAATGTGGGAAGAATATAGAAAATTGGGGAAATATATATGTATACATTTGACCTGATATTTCTACATATAAATTTACCTATGTTGCAAATATATCCATGAGCATACAAAGGGAAACATGAAAACTTCTTAGCCATAATCTACCATGAAGGAATGAATCACTAAGTTTCTGGGCTCAGGACACCAAGGTCAACTGGTACAACATAGTCCAGGAAAGCAATGTTCCACATCCGACCTTGTAAATAGCACTAGGGTCTTAAAACTTGTGAACAGCCACTTTCCCTGCCCTAAGCACATAAGGGTAAAGAAAAGCAAAGACCATAGAAACAGTCCAAAGAACCAATGGTCCACACACATCATGGACTTCACGACCCCGAGACCAGAAGAACTAGATGGTGCATGGCTACCACTACCAACCCCTGTGAAAGAGATCACCCAAAACAAGTCTTGGGTAGAGTAGGGGAAAAATGTGGAACAAAATTATGGAACAACAACAGTAAAATAATAAAAAAAACAGACCAGTACACTTGTTGGATAGAGACTGGTAGAATCTCTAAAATTATGGTCCTTATTCAGGTCTCAAAGGGAATTAATCCCAGAGGCCCAGTTTTCAGCCAAACAATAGACAGATCTATCCAGTGAACCCCCACTTGTCGGTCAGGATTTTTTAAAACTCTGATGGTTTGCATCTTGTGATGCTGGAAGCTATATCATCAGTCTTTCAAAGAGCAGAAGGGTGATCACCTAAGGTGAAAGGTTTCCATGGAGCTTTTACACTCAGAGCAGACAAGGAAAAAGGAATAGGCTGTTCATGGCTGAGGGATTAGCCATTTTATTAAAAGTAGCAGAACATTGCTAGATAGAGTGCCAGAGAATGAGCCCCTCAGGTGTGAAGGCACTCAAAATACCACTAGGAAGAACTGTCTTCTTAAAGGAGAGAGTCACCCAGAATGATATGGATGGAGCACAGCTTTCAGGGTCTTTATTGCTGATGGGGCATGACTCATAATGAGAAGCAGCGACTCTACATATATTTTAATAATCAGAATGTGGAATGTAAAACCTAAGAACCTAGGAAAATTGGAATAAATAAAAAATGGAATGGAATGCATATTAGCTCTTTTTAATTGGACAACTATATGGCTTACTATGGAGGGAATGACAGATTTGAGAAGAATGGCATTCACAATTATTGTCTAAAAACATTTCAAGATCTACCTTGAAGTACAAAGCTGTCTGTGAGAGGATTCATATGTCCACATGGACCAATAAAGCTAGTAATGAAGATGCTGAAGAATGCCACCAACTTCTTCAGTTTAAAATTGAATTATTGATAATTATTGGCAATTAGAATGCAAAAGTTGGAAGGAAAAATAGTTGGAAAATATGGCCTTAGTGATAGAAAGAATCTTAAAATTGTACGGTAGAATTTTGAAAATCAGCCAACTTATTCATTGCAAGTAACTTTTCAAAAACATAAATGTCGAATATATATTTTTATTTCACCAGATGTAAAACACCTGAAAAAAATGGACTATACCTGAGGAAAGAGATGGTGGGAAAATTTCATGATACATCTTCCTTACTGAAAGCAAAGAAGACAGTGAGCCCTTGCTGATGAAGATCAAGGACTACAGCTTTCAGTATGAATTGCAACTCAAAGCAAAGAAAATCAGGATCCTCACAACTGAGCCAAGAGATAACACCACAATACACGGAGAAAAGATCAAAGTTGTCAAGGATTTAATATTTTCCACTCTCTTTGTAAAATGAGATTTGAAAAGAAATTGTTTTATTTATATATAGTTCACATAATCATAAAATCCAAAGGTTCAATCATATTTAAAAGAGTTGTTTAATTATCATCACAATTTTGGAACATTTTATTCTTTCTTATACTCATTGTTAGTTTTCCATTTCCCCCTTGCCTAGCTCCTATGAAATTATTAATCTAGTTACTGTCTCCATAGATTTGCCTATCCTGGACTGCATATACAGCACAACATATAAAACAAAAACAAATAAAACCACCACCAACAAAATAAAACAGAAGGAAAACATCAATAGAAAATAAATTAGAAATATTAAAAATTGGAAAAGTTTTAAATGGACAAAAGGGAGATCAAATGATAAGGTGTTACATCTTGGATCCACAATTAATGCTCATGGAAGCAGCAGTCAAGAAATCCAAGCAGGTATTGCATTGGGCAAATCTGCAGAAATCCTCTTTAAAGTACTGAAAACAAGAAGATGACTTTAAGGACTAAGGTTGCTCTGACTCAAGCCATGGTATGTTCAAATATCTCATATACATGTGAAATTTGGAGTTTGAATAAGGAAAATTGAAGAAGAATTGATGCATTTGAATTTGGGTGCGGGAGAATACTGAAAGTACCATGGGCTGCCAGAAGAACAAAATAAATTGTCTTGAAAGAGATACAGCTAGAATGTTCCAGAATGTGAGGATGGTGAGATTTTTGTCTCACCTACTTTGAATATGTTACTGAGGAGCTCAGTCCCTCAAAAAGGACTTCAGAATGAGTAAAGTTGAAGTGCACTTAAAAAAAAAAGGAAGCCCTGGGTGAGATGGATTGACACAGTGTTTGCAAAAATGGGCTAAAAATAACAAAGGTTATCTTTGTTTTCTGTTGTACTGTGAGTTGGCACCAACTCAAAAACACTTACCAACAACACCAGGTGACCAATAGCATTAGGGAGGTATTCACCCCTTAGAAAAATTCAACATTCTAATTCAAAGGGTCAGGGTTTGCCCAAGAACAAAGTTCAGAAAGCAGAAAGGGTTAAGAAAGAGGGAATATGGAAATGGGAAACACAAATAGAAAGTGTATGAGTGATGTTACATTGTGGGGATTGAAATTAATGATCTGAAACAAAAAGCATATGAATTACTGAATGGAAAATGGATTTACTCTGTAAATTTTCACCCAACTAATAATAAAACCTTGAAGAAAAGTTCTCTAATGTGTCTTATGGAGTCACTATTATGGGATGGCCCTAACCCAAGCCATGGTATAGTTATAGTTATATTGGGCATATTTCAGTTGAAATCCCCACTATTCAAACTATGAGTTAGAATTGCCTTGATGGTAAGGGGGGAAGGGAAGAAGAGGGGATAACAAACCCAGGGACAAGGGAACAACAAGCGATCCAAATTGGTGGGGAGGTGGGTGTGGG